GTTGGGCTCCATGTTCTTCTCCAGGTGTTGAGGTTATGTGACACATTTTGTTCAGTTGATCTCTTCTTTGCTCAACTAAATATGACTTAGGCAAGCCTTCTACCAACATAGTTATCTCATGATAAAAAGCATCACCCACACAGAACTTGTCCAGGAGAAACAGAACTTTTTCTACCTTGCCGTTATCATCATCTGAGAGAGCGTCAAATCCAGAAACATTATCTGTGTTATCGGTACCACTGTTGTCAACAACTAAATTATGTCTAACATTAGAGTTGATTTCTTTGACGGTCATGCTTTCTAATTCCAGTCCAAAAGATTTTGCAAACCATAAGGCAGTTTCTGCCCGAGACAAAAAATTTTTGAGAGTCCTTGATTTTTTCTTCGTTTCTGAAATATCTTTTCCCTGATGCTGCATTTTTTCAGATTTTTCAAGGAGGTCAATATATTTCAATAGTTCTTCATTTTTTGACTGCAGGTTTTCAATTACTTCATTCTTTTCTTGGATGGCCATCTCCATTTCATGGTGAAGCTTTTTAATTTCCACCTCTAAATTAATGTTGCTTTCCTTCCATTTTGCCAACTCGTCGCAAACAAATGCCTTATCTTGTTTGAGTTTTGTAATTGAAATTGTTTGTCCATCCATTATATGGAATTTCTTGGTCTTTAAATCCAGTTGTTGTCTCTTTCTACCTCGACTCTTGCCATACTCAGCATATACCTTTGCTGCCATAACCCGAAGGGAATGATTTATTTCTGACCTCATAACTTGATCAGATGTAAGACCAAACGAAGTTCCAGGAATTGCAAATTCAAACAACTCGATATAAGTAAACTGGGGAAAATTTGAGGGCAAGTTGATGCCTATTTTCTTAGGATCACAGGTGCATGATGTTTGGAAGGGCTTTTTCAACACCACTAGGTTGTACCGGGCTCTCAGTAGTGGGAAAGGAATATCCACAGCAAACAATATATCTTTAGATGTAGATCTGGCAGCATATGTAAATGAAGGGCTTTCAACAGATAATTTCCATTGCAAATAAGTATGCATAGGACACAAAGGCGGAACATCCGACATTGCAAATACAATCAGATATATAACCAAGCACAATTATAAAATATAATAGACCTTACCACAGCCGAGTCTTGATCAATGTTCAAATTTCAAAAGCTTACAATAGTTTTATAAGTGCTAAATTCGTAAATTCAAGTTGCAAATTGAAAATTCCCGCGAAATCCCGCAATTTAACCATTGTTTATGAGCCCAAACTTCCTAATACAAGCGGTAGAACCCATGGTAACATAGCAACAGCTAAAGGAAAGCAATGGCGGACAGGAAAGCAAACTTTTACTACGATATTTTGATGTTTTTGTGCGAAGTACGATGTCTTTCTGCCATCAAAGTAGACAAAGACCAGTCTGCGAAATCGGTGAATTTCATCGCGTTGGGGAACACACTAGTGTATGTTTTTAAGCTTCTTAAACGTGAACAAAATAAAGATAGAGTCTATACGAACCAGCTCTGATATGCACATCTGCCGATGTCCGCCAACAACGAGCAGAAATTGGAACTGTAAAGTACCTAATATGGCAAAATCACACACTTTATTGGCCTTTATTATACGGAGACTAAGGTAAAAATATTGTTTCTCGGGAACATAGTTCGGCAGCTCGAGCTGTCTTCAAATTATCAGTGGTAAAAGTTCGATAAAATTAATGATGTTTTGGATATGCACATTTGGGATTTCTCGATCGTAAGTTATCTAAAATGCAAATTTTAATGATTTCCCACTCTAATCTTATATTAAGACGCCATATTGGATTTCTATATTATGGCTAAAACGCGCATGCTTGGCAGCCATTTTGGCCTGCATTTCTGGCCATGACATTCCGTCGTAACGATCGTAGTAACATGATTTTCTTGTTTATATCGGTTTTTAAGCCCACGAAATATCCACGCAAATAAAGACACCGTACCGCGTGTGGGGTTGTTTTAAAACGAGGAATTGCGTTGGTCGCTCATATACGAAGTCACTAAAATATAATTCTCTCTCGGGTTCGCAAACTGTGTTTCGTCTCGGGGGAGCGAAATACGGTCTGCGTTACGAAGGCTAGATATACCCGACTTTCCCGATCGATCGATTGTTTGTCTATGTATACTAAATTATGGAAAAAGTTTGCATCTTTATGTTCCATATATTTTAAAGATTTCAACGACATTCGGATAAACGGATTCTTTTGTGTGTGCATTTTTATTCGGCTTTTTAACGTAAACTTTGTTTACTAATTTAGTAACAATTCGAGAAGCCATTTTGTGTTCGAAATTTTGGATATTTTAAGCCTTGTTTCCTTCTGTAAATTAACCAAACTTTGCTTGTATATTATACTGTTTTACGACATGTTTTTAAACTTTTTTAAAACTCACAAGTTGTATTTTTCAAGTCACAGTCTTGGGAGTTCGCAACACTGAGTAGTTGGCAACAAAGCCGAGGCGAAATGTCACCAAAGGAAGCCATTTAAATTAAACGCTCATTTCGTGAAAAAGTTATTATTTTACATAAAAATCAAGTGAAAAATTCCGTTTTCTTTCTGTGGTTTATACTACAACAATTAGACAACTCAGCCTCGTTGTCTCTAAGCGAAATGGTCAACTCGGCTTCACCTCGTCGACCGTATTCGCTCATAGACAACTCGGCTTCGTTGTCTAATTGTTAAATAGAATATGCTAATAGATATCCAAGTGTTTATGTAATCCGACCCGCGGTTTCGCTATACAGTATACCAACAGCTAATTTGCCCATATTATTATAATTTACTCCGTTTGCAGTGGATGAGGATGTGTGAGTCTCATTGTGAGTTACGCTTGTCAGACTCGGCCAATCAGCCTATATATGTGTGTGTGTGTGTGTGTGTGTGTGTGTGTGTGTGTGTGTGTACTTTCATTTTTATTATCCTTATTCGTATTATTTTTATTATTGTTCGTATATTCGTAGTAGTTGTTACCTACGTTTTGAAGCAGGAAAGTTATCCAACTTTGTAAATACTCTACTCTCAACCCTGAGTAGCATCTTGAACAAAAGTAAACTTACCGTGGGATAATCAAAGCTGCCAAGTCGAGTTTTATAAATATTACTACTTGGAATTTGTGATAATGGGTATGCGAGTTTTGTATAGAGGGAAAGGTACTTTCAACCAGTTATGTCTAAGATTGCGGAAACTTATGAAGTGCTCGACAATACACCCTTCCGGAATTTCGTGCATAATTGAGACATTGTTCCACAGCGCTTAATTCCTGTGATTGATGTCATAATCATGAACTAATCATTTATATTCACAGACATAGCTGCATGTATGATTTCGTGACACCAGCTCCTTAAGGAGTAAAAACAACTCCACTTAAGCAGTTAAAATTACTCAAAAAAATGGAGTAAAAAAGGAGTAAAATTTACTCCAAAAAAGGAGTCGTTCTGCACCTTTTTTATTTACTCCACTTTTGGAGTCAATTTGAATCCTTTGGAGACAAAATGATTCCTACATATTGCAATAAAGAAAAGTCGTTAACTAACCTTAGAAATCAATAAAGACATTTTTCAAGTCAAAATAATTTATTATCCCTACAAGTAAGGTATATTATAGCAGGAAATACAATTTGCTTTAGCATAATATAATGATATAATCTTATGCTCGATAATATTTTTGAATGAAGTTCTAAAATCAAATTTTGATTAGAATGCTATCATGGCTACATGAATTGAACCTGCAGCCCTACAAGGTTGCCAAGAGGTAACCACAAGCTGCTGTATATATACCATGGTGGTGTCATTGGTAGTGTATTAAATTAACTGCCCAGGATTACACTAGTATTTTATACATGAAATCTTGGTTACAGTAGTTTCATTGACTCACGGGGTGATGGACTCTCTGGGCATGATGGACTCTCGGCGGTTAAGAAGCTGATCAAAATCACAGGGCAGCAGGTTCCATTCCCAGCACAGTACCGGCTATTACATAGTTATTGTTCAAAATTTACATTTACAGAAAAGCTTTAACCCATTGAGTGGCATCATTCTCTCCTTAATGAGTCAAATTGTCTGACCACATTAGACAGAAAAAATAATAAAGTAAAGCACCTTGACACTTAAAGGGTTAATATTCTGTTCAATGTAGAATATTTACAAGTAAAATATAGTGCATGTATAATGTATGTAGTGTCACTGCTCAATCAAACATGTCAAGTAAGTCCATTAGTAAAAAATTAGTACAAAACAAGCTGTATACCACAAGTCGGCAACTCTATCCCTTGCGCGTGGTTTGGTAATTCATAAACATGCTATCCAGCAAAAGAATAACATTTTCCAAATAGACCATGAAGTTCTTAGAATGCCATTAATGATTATATATAATGCCACTTGTTTAGACAACTTGCCTTCTCCTGGGAAACTTTTGTTAATAACTTTTCATTCAGCATCAGGATATAATGAATTCATATTAATTACCTACAATCTCTAGTAAGAAAAATATACATAAGGTTTATATATATATATAAAATATATATATATATATATATATATATATATATAGATTGATTGACAATGAATTTGATATTTTTGGTTGTTTGCTAGTATACAAAGCAAGAAATACAAAATTCAAATGCTTTTACTCATTTAATGTAAGCATGCAATTGAACTAACATCATCCAATACAACGTTTCTGGTAAAGGGTGTTTATAATAGGGGCGCATAATTGACCCAAAATCAATTGTCCAAAAATCTTGCTAATGCCGAGCTAGGATTTTCATATAAATTATATACAATCACCCACGATTTGGCACGGTATTACCCCTGGGCGCACTGGGGCGCATTGCGGCTTAATGGGTTAACTAAAGACATTGTCATTTTTTTTTGCTTAACTCACTAAACTGCAGAGCATCCCCATTTACGAGTAAAATCGTCTGGGGTCAGACAAGTAAAAATTTAAGTAGGGCGCACTGCAGCTTTTAAATGGGTAAAAATGAGTAAAAAGATCTCTGTGATTGTTTTGTCAGTTTTATACTGTTCGAGGCTGTCTGCAAAAGTATGAGTGATTGATCACTTGTTGGTTTACTTTGTTGGGAAATGTGCTTCTGCTATATAACTCGGTCTGGGTGATTTGTTTTGCAAAGCCTGCCCATCTAAACAGGCTCACGTAAACAGACATTCATCCAGGGAAAGCGAGCTATAGCCAGTTTGCCTGGGTGTAGTCCAGTCAAATCACTATAAGTACATGGTCGTGATCAAAGTAATCGCAATAGATTTGTTTTCAGTGGTAAAGTGTGAGAAAAGTTGTTCTGAATAACATACTAAACATAAAAAAAATCCCTTCGGTGGAATATGGTGAAAATCGAGCTTTTCTTACTTCTACCTATAGAAAACCATTGTGGACAGAATGTTGAAATTTTGAAATCATTTTTAGGCAAATGTAACGTACATTATTGGAAAGCTATGAAAAAAACTAAAATATAGATCACTAAATGGTTACCTTGCTTTTGCCTATCCAGCTGAAGTTATACAAGATTTAAAATGTCATAAATTTGTATTTTGTGCAAATTTTGCGCTATTTTTCCAACTTTGAGCTAAAATAACGACAAACTGATCAGTAAATTGAAAATAACGGTTTAATTGACCTTTATATAGTTTCGTTTAAGCTTTCCAATAATGTAGGTTACATTTGCCTAAAAATGATTTCAAAATTGGAACATTCTGTCTACAATGGTTTTCTATAGGTAAAAGTAAGGAAAACTCGATTTTCACCATGTCCCATCGAAGGGATTTTTTTTATTTTAGTATGTTAATCAGGACACCTTCCCTCACAATTTACCACTGAAAAAAAATATATTGCAATTTATTTGACCTCTGGTCACAAATTGACTGGACTAGTGGCTCGTCTCTATATCAGCAGCCCTTAACACATGTTTTACGCTGGAGGGTTACCATAGCAAGCGCATGCTATACATTGGGTAATATTGGGAGATGGGCTATTGCAATGCTATCAAATGTGACTGTATTTCAAACAAATCACATATATACACGTATACATGTGAATGTCAGCTTAGCAAATATTTAACAAGAAATACAACGTACATGTATATCACACAAATAAGCTATACGATTTTCGAAACAACACATATAAGTGGAGACTGTAGATTAGACTTATAGACTTCTGCTAATAGAAATTAATCGGAAATTAAAACTGAACGTCTAGATGCCTCGGCGAATCGGCGGCGAAGC